GCCGTTGTGCTCACTTGGGGAGTGAATCATCGGATGGAGGATCTTCCTCTCTGTCTCTCCTCCTCTCTGTATATCTGACTTTGTAATGAAAATAAATCTTTAAAAAAAAATACTAATGAAAAGTATATCTCTGGTGGAAAAAATTAAAGGAGGCGAAATGCCACTGGCGGAGTAAAAAAATGAAAATTTTTTTATAAAAAATTTATTTTTATTGCAAAGTCAGATATACAGAGAGGAGGAGAGACAGAGTGGAAGATCTTTCGTCCAATGACTCACTCCCCAAGTGAGCGCAACGGCCGGTGCTGTGCGGATTCGAAGCCAGGAATCAGGAACCTCCTCTAGGTCTCCCACATGGGTGCAGGGTCCCAAGGCTTTGGGCTGTCCTCGACTGCTTTCCCAGGCCACAGGCAGGGAGCTAGATGGGAAGTGGAGCAGCCAGGACTAGAACTGGCGCCCATATGGGATCCTGGCACTCTCAAGGCGAAGACTTTAGCCAGTAGGCCATGGCGCTGGGCCCAAAAAATGGAAAATTTAATCTAGATTTTGAATCCTGTCTGCTTAGGCAAACTTCAAGCTTTGGTTAAATGTGGGATAGTCATACTGTCTCTGAAGCACGAATTTAATAGCAAGCTGCCTGCAATGACTAGCACATAGTAGGTATTCATATTTTCTCAGCAGAATTTATGATTAAACTTCTAGATAACTTGTGATTGAGTAGACAAGGCTGACTTATTGCGATATAGGGTGTCATTTTCCTCTAGACTGATCCTGTGTTCCCAGTCTAGACCACAGTGGGTCATAGGCCTATTTTTAACAGGAACAACCCCTGTAAAGTGGGAGCTGGAATGGTAGGGAGCTTTTACATTCACTTCTCTATATGAATGCCAGTATCATGTAATTTTTGAAAATTTAAAATCACTGCTTTCTTCACAAAATTAAGGAAGACTGATCATCCCAAAGATGGAGCCAGTCAAGGAAAACAATGCCTCTTGCTTCATCCTCATTTCTGGTGGGTGACAAACGGTAGACAGGATCACTGCTGCTTACTTTCCAGTTGTCCACATCTGTTAATTTTTTTTTCCCAGTCAGGGGCTAGTTGGATGGCTCAACTGGCTAATCCTTTACCTGCGAGAGTCAGCATCTCATTTGGGTACTGGTTCATGTACTGGCTGTTTTTTTTTGCCTGGGAAAGCAGCAGAGGATTGCCCAAAGACTTGCTACCCAACATCTACTTGGGGAGACCTGGAGAAGGCACCTGGCATTAGATTGGCTTGGCTTGGCTTTGGCCATTGTGGACACTCAAGGAGTGAACCAGCAGATGGAAAATCTTTGTCTCTCCTTCTCTCTGTAGGTCTGCCTCTCCAACGAAAGTAAATCTTTTAAAAATGTTTTCTCACCGAACAAATTTTAACATTAATTTCTGAAAAGAAAATCTCCAAAGGCCATGCAGATCATTTGATTCCTTGTTAAAGAGAATAACCTATGAGCCCGGTGCAAGCATAGTGGCTCAAGTCCTCGCCTTGAACATGCCGGGATCCCATATGGGTGCCGGTTCTAATTCCGGCAGCCCTGCTTCCCATCCAGCTCCCTGCTTGTGGCCTGGGAAAGCAGTGGAGGATGGCCCCAAGGCCTTGGGACCCTGCACCGGTGTGGGAGACCTGGAAGAGCTCTTGGCTTCGAATTGGCTCAGCTCTAGCCATTGCGCTCACTTGGGGAGTGAACCATCGGACGGAAGATCCTCTTCTCCATGTCTCCTCCTCTCTGTATATCTGCCTTTCCAATAAAAATAATAAATAAATCTTAAAGAGAATAACCTGTGACTCAATTGAGCTATGACTCAACTAACTCACCTGTGAACCTGCAGGGAGATCTCTATTATTTACTAAAGGCAGCAATGTTGGTCTTCAACAGACCGACTTGAAAGGCAGAGCAGCAGGGAGAGGGAGAGACAGACAGCAATCTTCCATCTGCTGGTTCATTCCCCAACTGGCTGTGACACCCAGGTCTGGGCCTGGTCAATATCAGGAGACGGGGCACTACTCTCCCTCCCCTCGTGGGTGGGGTGGGCTCAAACAGTTGAAGCATTCTCTGCCAACTTCCTAGGTGCTTTAGGTCTGCCAATAAATGAACACAAATACTTACCTGTGGTATACCATACCGACAACGTCCTTTATACTATAACCCCGTGACATAGAAGCTGTAATATATATGGACTAACCAGCGTGGTAAGAGATAATGGCAGGTCAGGAGTCATCAGGAAGGCACTGGGTGACTATACTTAAGGAGGAAAAACAGACCAAAACAAAAAACAAAAAAACCGGCCCTACAGAGCAGAGAGGCCATGAGCACATGTTTCCAGTGAACACATTTGCAAGGAAAAGCATAGAGCTACACCGAGACGCTTCAGTAAACTTCTTTAAAAAAAATGCTAATGCTCAGAAAGGTTAAGAGACAATATACTAAAAACAATTCCAGAAATACTATAGTGTAGTACTAATACAAGAAGGTCTCTGTACAAATAATGATATTCTGGGGTATATTTTACTGGAGAAGTCAAAGAATCACTAGCAGTTTTGACATTTAAAAACACTTTTGATGCTTTAACGATGCTATGGCTTGAAATGGTTTTGGTTCCCCAATCTGAATATTTAAACTCAAAGTCTTGTCTTAACAATGAATAGATTAATAGCAGTTGACAAATTAAGGATGGAGATTTGATCTATTTAGGACCTCTGGGAGGAAAGCCTAGTACACTCTACCAAAGGCCTCTGGGATGCAGGACTAGGAAACCTAATCATCTACCAGGCAGGCCTAAGTGGGAGGCCTGCGAGGCACTGGAGCATGCCCTCAGATGGCTGTTCCTGTGACAGTGCTGTTATGTACACAGAACAACTTCCTCTCCCCCTCTGTGCTTCCTGGCTTGCAATATGATCTTCTCTTCACACACCCTACCATGCACCATCCTCATCACATGGAACTAATGCGGCCACTAGATCCTGGACTATGAACTTCTGAAACTGTAAACTGAACTATTACAGAAAGCTGCAAACAGGGCCCAGTGTGGCAGCCTAGAGGCTAAAGTCCTCACCTTGCATGCACTGGGATCCCATATGGGCACTGGTTCATGTTCTGGTGGCCCTATTTCCCACTCAGCTCCCTGCTTGTGGCCTGGGATAGCAGTCGAGGACGGCCCAAAGCCTTGGGATCCTGCTCCCACAAGGGAGACCCAGAAGAAGCTCTTGGTTCCTGGCTTAGGATCAGCACAGCTCCAGCCATTGCAGCCACTTGGGGAGTGAGTCATTGGACGCAAGATCTTCCTCTCTGTCTCTCTTCCTCTCTAAATACCTTACTTTCCAATAAAAAAAAAATCTTTAAAAAGCAGAAAATAAAACATGATTTGGCGTTTTCCACAATCAAAATGATCAATCTCGACTTTTGTCAAATGTTTAGTGATGCACTGGAGTACGAACTGTATTACAGAATGTATGATTATAAGCACACTGCACATGTTCGTTTCATTTTCTCAACCAACAGCCCTAGAAAGGTTAGAGAAACCCTGGAGTTGGTTCCACTAAACACCAGTAGAGCTAAGACTATATTTAAGCCAAACTCCTGAGTGCTTGCTTCATACAGGCTGAAGATGAACAAAAAATCCTTATAAATTTATACTACAGAAAACAATTCCTTCTAAGGAATACAAATAACATTTTGACTGGGATTTTTAAAATAATTTATTTAAGGCTTCTGCTCGTCACTCCCTAGCCTGCAGCCACAAACTCATGATCTGACCAAATCCTCTTATGTAGTCTATTAGCTGGATTCTCAGGGAATGGACTTCCTAGCTCAATTCTCACTGCTTACCTGGTTCTAGACATATCGGTCTGCTGAGTCTAGCGTAGCTTAGTGGTATATATATTATATTTTATATTTAAGTTGCAGCCAAAAGATTTGTTTCTTTTTATTGGAAAGCCAGATATTCAGAGAGGAGAGACAGATCTTCCACCTGCTGGTTCACTCCCCAAATGGCTGCAACAGTCAAACTGAGCCGATTCAAAGACAGGGGCCAGAAGTTTCTTCCAGGTCTTTCATGTGGGCACAGGGGCCCAAGGTTTTGGGTCATCTTTCACTGCTTTCCCAGACATTGAGCAGGGAGCTGGATGGGAAGTGGAGTGGCTGGGACACAAATAGGTACACATATGTGGCACCTGTAAGGGAAGATTAACCAATTGAACCATCATGCCAGGCCTCTGCAGACATAGAGTTCTATCAACAGTTTTAATATTTGTGCCTTATCATCTAATGTGCAGTTGCCCATGGTGCCAATGCAAATATCCAAAGCTATTCTGTTATTTCTAAGGACATATTTAGAAAGACTTGAGGCAACCAGTCTAGTGCCCCTGGTTGGTGGCGTTTCCAGTTGCCAAATGCCTTGCACTGTGACTTCAACAAGGAAGTGATAAATTGAGACAAGGCCCAAGACATCGTCCCCCTCCTCTTGGAAGCTTTAGAGCCAGAATGGAAACTTCCTGGTGGTTAATCCACTCAATCATATAAACCACTCATCTGAAAACAAAAGTCAAATACACGTTTCTTAGTTTTTTTGGTATATATTTACAATATAAATACTAATTTCTTTTCAAAGTACATACTCTTAACAATTTGAGAAAATTATCTAGCATGGGACAGAATTAAAATGTAAAGCCTCTATAAGAGTGATCAAGGAAAAGTAGAACTGCTTTGGGGACGAGGAATCCTTGAGTCATGTGAGCGGGCATGATGACCTGACCTGACAGGAGGAATGTGAAGCAGCTTAAGTCTGCATTGCACTGCCAATACAGCATGTTCTGAGATAGCAACCTTGATGGTGTGTTATAAAAACTAAACTTGATAGATAGAAAAAGTACACATGCTTGCATAGTGCGTTAATCTTAAAGAAGCTCAACATTTCATTCTTTTTCAATAACTTAAAATGAATAGCACTTAAAACACATCACACAAAATTAAAGACTTGTGCATATATTTCAGATTTCAACATTAATGTCAAAAATACATAGTATGATTTTACATAGGAATTGTGCTACATTAGAAGACTAGAGACAAACATCACTTGAGTATTAAGGAAAACATTAAATATTAAATAACTGAGAAATAAAATGTGTAAACACTAATCTAACCGGGGGATGGGGTTTGCTATCACAACATGTCCAATGAAGTGGTTTCAACAGGACAGAAAGGATTAGGACATGAGTGCTTCCAGTCTACTTGGAATATGCAGATCCTGTTTCAGGAATCCTTTGATAGAAACTGGTCCAGGATGGGAGAAGAGCCACTCTCCTGATCGTTAATTTGGTACACTCCATTCTATGCTAATTTTTACTTCCAAACTTTGATACTGAACCAACACCTCGCACTGTCATTCCTTATCAACATCTTGGTGAAAACTGAGGGTTTGTTGGTGATTCAGTGTAAGATTTGAGTTCATACGCAGCACCGCTGTCAACCTCCATTGACTTTCTAGAGAAGAGGAGCCGTACATCTCTATGGAGGTAGATCTTTCCAGATTTAGAACTCTGGAACCTAAACAAACAAAAGAGAAGAGTCATGTCGGAATCAAAGTCATTCAAAACGTGAAAGCAGTAAGAATTGACATATTGGTGAACACTAACATATACCTCAATTCTTTACTACTTGCTAACCACTCCATGCCCTTTCATGCTTACCATGTTTGAAATGCACCCTCCAGTGAGTCTAGGTTTCAGATAAAAACTTCCTTTTCTTCCATGAGTACATATACCTTTCCTCACCTGCGGTTCTATCAGTTAATAACACTATGTTTAGGTTCTGCAGCTCCAGGACAAATTAACTGACCCATTTTGCACAATTTAGCCTCCTATTATTTGGTGTAGGTTAAAATGGATTTCCCCACTTTAAAAAAAGTCAATATAGAACACAACCAAGTTTAGGGGCAATCACAGGATGAGAAAGAATTGCTATCAGCAGCAGTAATAACTATCTAAATAAAACTAAATGCTAAGAGAAAAGTCAGCAATACCTATTACAAACATAAATGCAACTTTTTACCCCGATCCTATCTGAAATGCACAGTGACAGATAAAGAAAAGACTAATAGAAGAATCTTCTATTCACTAATTCACTTCCCAAATGGATACGATAGCTAGGTCTAGGTCTGGTCAATGCCAGGAAAAAGAAACTCCATCTTGGATTCTGCGTGGGTTGCAGGGGCCAAAGCATTCGAGCCATAGTCCCAAGTGTGTCAGAAGAGAGACAGATCAAACATGTACTAGCTGGAACTTGAACTGGCACTGAGATAAGGGAAGCAGGCATTGTAAGCAGCAACTTAAAACCCACTTCCCCACAATTTCAGCCTCAGCTCTGTTGTATGTATTAAACATCTCACATGCTCACTCTATTTCTCATTAGGAAGTTTCCACCTTCGAGGAGAACATGGAAAGGTTTGGAGAATATGCCATTTCCATAAGAAGGTGTCTTTACAACATTTAAAATATTTAGATATTATGTGCAGATTTATAAAAGCTGAGAAAAATGATGCCAAACAGAAGTTTAACCAGAGCTCAATCTTCTCCTAGGTAAGACAAGGGAAATGGTATTATAGTCTTCTGTTTCAATATTCCTCTTTTTAAAAACCTGCCAATATGTTTTCTGGTAGCATTTTCATTCCCACAATCTGTGTAACATTTCCCATGATGTATATCAGACAGTGTTAGGTTGGGTTTAATACACTGCACTGGTTCAGCATGTCTTTTGAATGCAAAATGACAACCAGAGATGAAGGGAACCAATTAAACAGGATTGGGGGCAAACAATTAAAACATGCTTTCAAAATGTGATATGAATACAAAATTTTTCATTCCAGATCACTATTCCAAGGAAGACAGACTGAAGGACAGCTAGTGGTTCCCAATGGTAACATATTAAAGACAGCTGTGTCCGGGCCCTGGATGAAAGGTCTGATGAATGGGGCTCCTGACTCATCTAAGACCATTATCACTGATGAGACCAAGGACCTCCCGTGGAAGGGACCAGAAAATGCTCAATATCAGATTACTGAACCCTTAATTAATTGACTCCCTGATCCTGATTCATACTTCAGGTTTTCAGAGCTGATCTTACCCTAAGATACTAGCCACTGGGATTTCAAGAGAAAACAAATGCTTTCTCAAAGCCTAGAGCTCTGAGCTAGGTAGTGGAAGTCAGAGGAAGAGACAGCTCTGATGAAACCACTAGCATGTAAGATATAAGACAAACGAGAGTTTGTCATTACTGTTTCCCTAGTGTTTGGAAGCACGCATAGCTCACAAATATTTGCTGAGCAAGTGAATAAAGTTTAAGAATTTCCCTATAAAACACAGAAGCCACGTGTGACCATGAGTGCTTCAAATGTGCTCACTGCAAATTGATTTAAGCATAAAACTACACTTGCTTTTTAAGGCCTTAGCAAAACAAAAGAATGTAATCATCTCATTGGTAATTCTTACATTGTTTATATATATTTGGGTTTACTGGGATATATAACATATATCAGTCATACAGACCTTTTTTTAAATGTGGTGATTGGGAAATATAGAACTAAATGTGTGGCTTATACTAAACTCCTATTGGATATCACAGGTTTAGAAAATGTTATCTCACTATCCCAAACATAGTAACACTTTAAAACACAATGCATTTTAAACAGCAATAACTGAAAACTCTCTTAACTCAAGAAGTTACAATGCCCAAAGGAAAATATGCCATGTGCTTTCTGTATTTTGGCCATTATCAAGAATATCTGAGGCCTGGCACTTTGGTGTCGTGAATAAAGCTACGACAACTCCTAGCTGCTCCACTTCCAATTCAACTTCCTGCTTATGTGCTTGGGAAAGCAGCAGAGGACAGTCCAAATGCTTGGGCCTCTGCACTCATGTGGGAGACCAGGAAGAAGCTCCTGACTCCTGGTGCAATCTACCCCAACTCCAGCCAGTGCAGTCATTTCAGGGAGTGAACCAGTGGGTGGAAGATTTCTGTTATTCTGGCTTTCATATAAAATGAATAAATCTTTAAATCCAAGCTAGGCAACATCCAACGGGCACTGGCTAACCTAGAGTTACACTTTTTTTTAACTAAAAATTGGAGTTATTTTTGAGTAACTTATTTTCATAATTATTTGCAATATTACCTCAGATGAATGAGGTAGCGTAATAACCGTTCCTCTGTATGTCGGATGTTCTCTTTATTAACACTTCTCTTCATTTCTTGTTTAACAGGAACAGAAAAAGTTCTTTGTCGTAGGAATGTCTGATGATTGGCTGGCATATCTCTCAAGTCATATATCACAACAAACATCTTCACCACAGTCTTATTAGGATTAAATAAGGTCTGAAGAAACAATATAGAATTATGCTTTAAAAAACAGTGATTTGTTGACATGAATCAGAACAGACTATGCCAATAATTAAGTAGGTCTTTTAATAACAAGATAATCCCACTGGGTATAATCAATTCATTGATAAAGAAAATACAATTCCAAAAGTTTACAAAATATTCAGTTTTTTAAAGATTCAATTTAATTTTTTTGTTTCACAATAAAAAAAAATCCTGTAACAAAATTTGTGGTCAGCAATTCCATATAATAACAAGCAACATGTAATTTTTACTCCTTGCTCAGATTTTAAGAAACAATTCTATTAGCTTAAGCAAAAATATACCTTTACTGGCTTAAGATATTTCAGTTCAATTATTTTACATTATTATTACATTAGCTTTGCTAAAGAGTATCAACTGCAAAATTCTCAAGATGAAGTTTTCATTTTTCCTCATATTTTACTTGTCAATAAGCAGAACTTTAGTTCACTGCTATTAGAACCAAAGTATTCAGGTTCTCACAAAATTGTTAATCATTTCAAAATTTGCATTGACATGAGGATTTTATTTTTAACCATTAATACCATTATAGAGCAAAATATGCATCCTCAAGTGTATATTGAATTGAATTCAACTTATAACTGGTCATGAGTAATTGAATGAACATTTTTAAAAACAGTAATTAGAAAAAAAAAAACCCCAAGTTGTTCATCTAACTTTAACCAAATTACCAACACATCAGTAGGTAACTTGGTGCCCATGCTTTCAGAAGCTCATCCGTGGCACTGGACATCACTCACTGAATCAAAATGAGAAATATATCAATATTATGATCCAATTTTTGCAATCTAGTGACTCTTAAGGTTAAGGCTAACACATTCAGGGACCACAACACCAAGCATGCCAGGAGTTCAAATCATGTTCACAAATTATTAAATTAGATAAAGAATAAAACATGTACTCAAATTTAAAATTAATTATTAATATTGGCAGTCACCAAACAAAAGTTGAATGTGCTACTCCTAGGATTATCCCGCATTGTTACAACACTGACAGTTAGCTTTCCAGTGACCTATGCTTTCTCACGAGTTATAGAGCCAGGGACAAGAGAACAGCAGATTACCATTCTTATAGTTCAAGCAAACGATTCAACATAAAAATACATCACTATGCAGTGACACTTCTTTATTAAGAAAACATTATAATATGCACATATACACTGACTGCACAGTGCTATGCTTCAGTCAGGTCTAATACAGAATAAGCAGAGGCACAGATTACTTCCAGTACTGAAACAACAATGATACACACAATAAAGCTCAAGTTAATCAAAAGACTTGTTGGGCTGCCAGATATTTGGTCTGCTCGTTGGGATTCCAGTAGGAGCAGCTGGCCTCATGCCTGACTCTGGCTCCTGACTCCAGTTTCCTGCTGGTGTAGACCCTGAGTGGTGTGGTAAGGACCCCAGGGACTGGGTTGCTGTTACCCGTATTGGAGAACTGGAATTAGTAACCAGTCATATGCTTTGGTTTGACCCAGGCTTGTGTCATTGTGGGATTTTGGAGAGTGGGCAGGCTATTTCCTTGAGTTACCAATAAATAAAAATTAAAATAAAAAGACTGGCAGAACTAAAACAGGTATTAAATGTGAAGACTCAGTTAGGTTTCTTTATTTCTCTTTGAGATTGCTTTTCAGTTTACAAACTTGGTAAAGATTATGGGCTTGCAGGGTGATACTGGGTCAGACTTGGATATGAACTCAAATGCAAACTGGCCTTGATATTAAGTTGTAAGAGTAACTGCTCTGGGCTACAAATGAGATTAACGCCTAGACATTCATCTGACACTATCCTAACATCTGTAACACTACATTTGTGTTTTATATGATCATCTCATTAGATCAAATTAGGAAGTATTGCACAAGGGATAGTATTATTTACAGAGTATTCTTGATAAAGCAGTAACAATATTTAGGTTTCAATCTCAATCTGGCTCCCTATATTAAACAGAAGGAACCAGTAATGCTAGCCTCTGATTGCACTAGCAAAAGCTCATTTAAGTCATATAAATATTCATATATTGTTTTTCTAAAGCATTCACCTTGATTAGCTTATTACTGCTTTCCTTTTATGGAGGACCCAAATGGTCATTCCTGGGGCAGAGCAGGGAAACTCCAAACAAAGCTGCAGCCCCACTGTTACTTACCAAAGTTGTTGCAGCAGCAGTAGCAGGAGAAAGGGCTAAGTTCTATATGTATGTGAGAGAATGATTATTGCAATTGTAGACTATAAAACACATACCACTTGTATTGTTCCTGAAGGAGGTACTCGATAACCCCTTTTACCAAGGGACTCTAAAGTAATCACACCCTTGAAATAAAAGAAGACAAAATTGAGTACAAACTGATGCATGTGTACAGGAAATATTAAAACAATAAATCATAATTACTAAAATTTCATAATCATATCTCTAAAAATATTAAAATTAACAAAGCTATCTTCCATGAATATGAAACACTAAGGATTTCTCTCTAAGGAGAAACACTGTTTTTCCTGGAGATGCTGCAATAACACATAATACCACAGGCAAGCCTGCTTAAAATTTTTATTAAAGTGTATGATATAAAAATAAGAAGTTCGCTAAAGTTTTTAAAAAGGAGCAATATAGGGCTATTCCTATATATCATGGAAGAAAGGAGGAATGAATAAACCAAACAATTTATTATTCTTTAGACAAGAAAAAAAGTCACGAGTGTGGAAGGATCTAAGTCTTAAACAAAAACAGTCAACTCTTTAGTGAGAGAACTGAAGTAAGCTAGATATCTAAATTTGACTATTTGACTACATATAGAAAGCAAAATAGAAAAGAAAGTTGGAATTTTTTGATCCTTGCCTGACAATGAATTTATAGGAGACATTTGAGACAAAGTAGAAAATGAAGCTTCAATCAGAAACTTGCAAGACTGTGGTTCGTTCCATATACAGAGGCTACAAAATCCAACTTTTCAAGATGAAATACTTGTTCATAAATGATCATGTGTCATGCTGTGCCTTAACCAAAAATGTTATTGGGTATCTTATTTTTAGCCATTTACTTATTAACAAAGCAAAGAATCTAAATTGATTATATATAAATCAAAACACAACCGATTGAAGGGCTAACATGTAAGTTAAGGTCAAATCTCAATTAGGTTCATTGCAAGAGTTGCCTAAGGCATCCTCAGATTAGTGGGAGACTCAAACAATGGTGGGCAGACTGGCACCGCTGCCATCGCTTGTAGACTGAACTAGGAATGCAGAATATCTGGCCTCTCCCTAGAACCACCAAGCCAAATCTACATTTTAACAAGGTTCCCCTATAACATCTGCGCATCAGCACCTGAGAGAAACTGCTCTAGGATAGGATATTATTTTTATGAGAAGAATGCTCTAATCAGTACAGAAGTCCAAACAGTGGAAATTAAGTATTACCTGTTACAACAAAAGTTCAAATTGCAAGTGTAAAAGAATCTCAATAATCAGGATGACATGTAGTAACTGTGATACTTAATTCTCAGTTTTTCAAAAGCAGTGATTCACTTGTTTTAGCTAAAGTTAATTTTTTTTCCCAAAGAGTTAAGTAGAATGCATGTACTACATGTAATGCGATCATTACATGATTCCTTCATTACATATTTGCAGTCCAACCTCATATAAAAGTACACAGAATACGGGACTGCCCCATCAGTTTCAAAGTCAGTCCAAGGTTGTGAGATAAAAAGGAGGGCCAGGTTTTGCCATACGGATACCTTAGTTCCCAGTAAAAAACATTTGGCATCAGGCAATTCAATTAGCATAATAGTGGATAATGTCTATGGACATTGGCACCGAAGAGGCAGACATGGTCTGGACAAATGCATCACATGGTCATTTAAAGTGTGACAACAGCACATGAACAACACACATTCTTAACCTGCTCTACAGAGGTCTCCTGAGGTGGTACACATACCAAGCAGAGAGTGGATATTTACCCTGTGAGAAAAACTGATCTAAATTGACATAGAATATCCCACTTCTTCCAAGTTCCAGGATGAAAAAAAAAAAAAAAAAAGTAAAACATGCCCAAGTAACAGCTATTTTTTTATAATCATATGCTTACACTGTTCTTTACCCACCTCTACCCACAATCACAAACAGGGAAAAAGGTAAGACAAAGCTACTGCTAACACTATATTTATTTCCTTTAACACATTCAACTAATAGATTTTAGAACACAAGATAATACTAACTGAAACAACTTATGAAGAATAAGTATGCCCTAGCTGTTAAGTCAGCAATTTAAGAGAACAGTTTCTAAGTGAGGTGACAGCACTAGAAGGCTAGAAATTTTAGAAGGGATTAAGACATCATTGAGAATTTTAACAATATTGTATTTGGCATTTCTTATTTTGATGATTTCACTAACTGATCAGCATTTAATATTTACAGCTAGAGAAAGCTGTAATGTTTAGCAAAAAAAAAAAATGCATTTTCTTCTGGCACTTTAAGATGCAACAGTAAAGGTAAGATAAATTAACTTCATGCAAATTTTTAACAATACAACTCCTTTAGGGTAGGCAAAAATAAATGAAAAACTGAGGGAAGTCTGTCTTGATTTGGTTGACTAACACTAGGCATCATTTCCAGCACTGACCATGTGAAAATCCCACCTGTGTCAGTCTAAACCTGCCATTCTCACACCTACGTTAGCTTTTTGCCTGATGTCACCACACAATAGTTTTTAAACAGCTAAATGTTGCCATACAGCAATACTTTTACTACTCATTCTCAACTGAAAAAAGAAATTACATAGCTTTGAGTTAATATATTTAATCAAGTTTCTGATAAAAGTCCTATATTAGCTTTACATCACAAAAAATTATCTTGGCTAAACTTTTACCTTTGTTAGTTATATAATTCGTGATGTGTGTTATCATTTGAGAAACAGGTTATTATTACAGTAATAAATACAAATTTGTGTCTCAGTTCAACTGATCTATGAATCATCTTATGAAAACATAATCAGGCCTTTGAAAATAGACTAAACTACCCAGATATACAGTCAGATATACAGAGAGGAGGAGAGACAGAGAGGAAGATCTTCCGTCCGATGATTCACTTCCCAAGTGACTACAATAGCCGGTGCTGCGCCAATTTGGAGCCAGGAGCCAGGAACTTCCTCCAAGTCTCCCACACGGGTGCAGGGTCCCAAGGCTTTGGGCCATCCTTGTTCGCTCTCAGACCACAAGCAGGGAGCTGGATAGGAAGTGGAGCAGCCAGGACTAGACAGTGCCCATATAGGATCCCGGCGCGTTCAAGGCGAACACTTTAGCTGCTAGGCCACTGTGCCAGGCCCAAAAAGTATCATTTTTAAAAAGATTTATTTATTTTTATTATAAAGTCAGATTTACACAGAGGAGAAAAAGAGAAAGATCTTCTACCTGCTAGTTCTCTACCCAGGTGGCCTCAAGGACTGGAACTAAGCTGACTCAAAGCCAGGAGCCAGGAGCTTCTTCCAGGTCTCCCACATGGGTGTAGGGCCCCAAGGCTTTGGGCAATCCTGCATTGCTTTCCAAGCCACAAACAAAGAGCTGGAAGGAAAGCAGTGCAGCAGGGACACAAAACAGTGCCCATATGGGATTCTGGAACATGCAAGGTGAGGACTTTAGCCACTAGGCCACCCTGTTGGGTCCTGTGGTCTAAGATCTGAAATGGAGAGCTGACATTATGGCTAAGTGGACTAAGCCACTGCTTGCAATGCCTGCCATCTCACATCTGAGCATGGTGTGAGATCCAGCTGTTCCACTCTGATTCAGAAAAGCAGAAGATGGCTCAAGTACTTAGACCCACGAAACCCATGTTGGAGACCTGGATGGAGATCTGGGCCCCTGGCTTCCCGCCTGGACCAGCTGCAGTTATTGCGGCCATTTGGAGAGCGACTCAGGAGTTAGAGGACCTCTCTTTCTCCCTCCCTCCCCCTCCCTCTCAAGAAAAGATTTTGACAAGGTCACTTACAAAAGAGAAGAAGTGAACAATGTAGAAAAACACTGTGCAAAAACAAGGCAGAAAAAAAACAATAGCGAAGAACAGCTGACTGAAGAATGTTATAAGAGTAAAGAATGCATGGAACTATCCTCTTGTTCTTGAAAATAGATGGACTAAAAAAAAGTTACCTCATTTATATTCTTTCCAGTATTTACTCAAATTAGATAATAATATATGTATATTCTTATATTTCCTAAATATTTAATGGCAAAATATTTTGTCTTCTAATACTTCATTTTAAAAAAATAATGATTTTTAATCATTTTTAATCTTTTGACCACCATGGTCAAAGATTAATGATGTGTTGCTATTTTTTCATGTGTAGTTCAATTTATTTCTTGGTCATGAATTTCACTCAAAAATATTTGAGTTGGTTTTAACACAAGCTATTCTTTTACCCTATTTCTCAGCTATTCTAACAGTCATTAGGGACTCTACTGAGTAATGACAGATTATATAGCATTAAAGATTTTATTTTTCCATAGTATTTTACTACATGGCAATATAATATGCGAAAGCAACTTCCAGGTATCTAAGTAAAAAAAAAAAAATGGTATCTTTATAGCTTATGTATCCCAGTATAACAGGCATTTATTTATTCTAGTATTTAACTTATCAAAGTGGCAAATTCTAGTTTACTAATTATCTGAAATTAGCAGTAATTTTTCTAAAAGGATTTTGAAGTTAGGGGTATTTTTCTACAACACATGAATAAGAGCTGGTGCATGAGATAACTGACTCAAAGTTTCACATTTAAAATGGAGACCACTTGAAATAATAATGTAGTTTCTAAAAGTTAGTTTCACGTAAGATGCTATCACTGTAAACTTTTTACATTTCCATCCTAGTCACTTATTCTCCTTTGGAAAATGGATAATACTTAATTATACATTCAGAATTATATATCACTTTTGCATTAGAGCACTTATTTTACCTACAGCACACTGGAATAAAACATGGGAAAGGTGAAATAGGACTGATCTTAATGTTCAAAACTATGCTCTAATTCTCTTTACCTCTCTGTCCATTATTAAGACACTGATTTGAGTCAGAAACAGATAACGTTTTTTTCTTTCTTTTTTGAAAAAGATGGACATATTTGAGAGAGTTACAGAAAGAGACAGATTTTCCATCCATTTCCCCAGATGGCTGCAATGCCCTGTGCTGGGCCAAGTCCAAGCTAGGAGCCAACAGCACGATCTGGGTCTCTGTATGGATGTAGGGACCATCTTCTGCTACTTTCCCCAGGTCATTATTAGAGAATTGGATCATAAATGCAGCAGTTGGGATCTTAACTTGCACATGGAATGAAGGCAGCAGTTTTATCTTTTATGCCACAATGCTATCTCCAGAAATAGCTAGCACACTAAAAGAACTTTAGGATTAGAAAGGAATGAGCCAAAGACAAACCACACAGGAGAACAGGGACTAGAGGGGCCTTACATGAGCCATAGGTCACCCAACTCTCACTGAACTACACCTAGAAAAGGCAACTCATCGGTTTAGGGTGCACAGTAAGCACACAAAAATCTGTATGAAACCAGTGAAATGGAATTACAGTGTCAATAATCAATTTTTAAAATTTGTGTATTTATTCTTGAGTCAGAGAGAGGGGGAGATTTTCTAATCAGTGGGCTTCCCATGTGGACGCAGAGGCCCAAGTGCTTGGGCTGTCCTCGGCTGATTTCCCAGGTGCATTTGCAGGGAGGTGGGTTGAAAGGGAAACAACGAGGACTTGAATTAGAGTCCACGCGGACACCGGCACTGCAGATGCTGCTTTGATCTGCTGTGTCACAACTGGCCCTCACTCACCAATTAGTACCTCTTTTTCCCAATCACATGGAAAACAGTAAATTTTTAGGACCACTCTCAAATACAAAAGAGGCAATCCAATATTTGAGCTGAGAAAAAAATTGTGAGGCGTTATTTTGGTAGATTATTCTGTATTCAATTTACAATTTTTCCTTTGGGAATACATTATCCTTTCAATAACTGTACAAAAATATTTACCAAGTAGATTCATTTCAGTGGGAAGAGACAAGTTTAAAAATACTTGCCATATAAGGAGAGGGAGCATTGTCATCTGAAACACTGTAGAATGACACTTCAACTGGAAGAGTCAAATGTGTCGGGCAGAAAACACCACTTGCTCCAACCTCAGCAGTGAAACCATCAACAATGCCGAGAGGATCTAAGCGATAGTTCAAGACAGATTCCTGGAAGAATAAACACTTTATTAAGAAACATAAAAGTTAATGCTGTTTTTCTCTATTGAAGTAAACATGAGCGTATCACCATGTTTTATAGCATTAGAATAACACTTGTTACCAGCTGTGCCTTGTTCCCTTAGTTCATCTATCTTGAAATCAACCCCAACTCCTATAAATCTTCTACTATACTATAAAGTTTGGTCTCCTCTAACTATTTCAAGCAGAAAGAACTCTCCTAAAACTGCACCAGTGGTCAGATTTGTTAATGTTATTTTTAGGAGTATATAAATTAAAACAACAACATGTTCTACTAGACCAGGCATTTATTTCTCACAGTGCCCATTCATGATACTAGGTATAGAAAAAAATCACTGGAACTTAAGACGTCACATGCAGAAATTCCATTAAAAAGAGAAAGCCAAGCACTTATCACTTCAACCAAGAAATGCTTCGTTTATAAATGTTAATTGTATGTGATCTGTGTATAAATGTACAGTAGAAAAATAAGAATTCAAAAATGCAAATGACTTATAACACAATTTATGTAACTACAAAAATATGTCAAAATTCAGTACACTGAAAACTATAAATCACTGATGAGAGAAATCAAATGTTTAAATGAATGTATTTAATGGTTTGGAAGATCTAGCAATTCCAGATAATCTCCTCAATTTGTTCTCTATTCATGCAATTCATAAAATCTCAGCAGAGTATTTTACAGAAATATAAAAGCCAATTTGTACTAAAAGATAAAGGAACCAAACCAGTTCAAGTAATTTTGAGAAACAACAACAAAGTACTCACACTGCTGATTTCCAGACTAGAAATTTAGGCACCCATATGCATAAAAATGAACGCTGACCAGATACCTCATATCATATAGAAACTGAAAAAGATCAAAGATTGAAATGTAGGAAGTAAAACACACTTCCAGGAAGTCCTGGCGACCTTGGTTAGGTCAGTGGTTCTCAACAAGGGGATGAGTGGCAGTGTTGGGAACACCTTTCTGGTTGCTACAACCATGGATATGCTGAAGGGATAAGGTACTGCTCGACATTCTGCAATGCTGACAGTCCCCTCCTTACAAACAAATACCTAGCCTAAATAGAAATAGTTCCACAGTAGACTAAGAATGGAAAAGACTTTTCAAAAAACGCAAGATCCAAAGGAAGACTCAGTAAGGGAAACATTAATAAATTACACCTCCAGAGCAACCACTGGCACGCATGTGATCTGTGGCTGGGAACAGGCCTGGTTGGGGAGCTAAGGGGATAACCCTAGCTGGGTTGAGGTTCCCACCAAGGGGCGTGTGACCTGGAATGGGGGCTGTGTTCTGATCGGGAAATGGTTGTAGTCTCCCTCGGCACAAGTGTGGACTGGGATTGGATGCACCGAGCCAGGCCAGACCCCAACACCCTCTAGTGTCCTGGAGGACCAGGATAGATGTGGGACGGACTAGGCTAGGTCTCAACCCCCTACTGAGCCATGTGTGAGCCATATGTGAGTATGGACAAACCATGGCTGGGCTGAAATATCCAACAACAGGAACCAGCTTGAGTCAAAGGCCAGTCAGGAAAAGCCACTGTTCCTGCTAGGGCAGGAGGTGGACTGACACTGAGTGGCTCATGGATCCACTGGTAAGCGTGAAACCTGGCATTGGGAGGGGTTCTGAAGGAAGAGCCTGGGCAACTCCTCTGGCAGGACACAGACCCTGCAGGTAAGTGCAAGAAGCATTATAGGAAACAGCCCAGAACAGGCCATGGAAAGCTACCCATACATTTGGCATGGGTCGGGGGAAGACCAGGCTGAATCTGTCCACATCATCCACTGGCAAATCCAAACACCAGAACAGTGTGGGTCGAGCCAGGTTCAGCAGCAACAAAGACTAGTGCACAATATAGAATGCCAAGGTGAGGTTGCCTGAGCCGAAAGTGACTGCAGCGTCCAACCAGCAAGCGTGAGAACAAGGGGGCAGTGCCAGCAGGGGAATAAGGCGTGGTTCCTTTGCTGGGCAGCTACTCCCACTGGAGAGCATGGGCTGGGTAGGGGCAGACCAGACTCGGCAGGGCTATAACACCTGTATGCCTCATGTGGACTAGATCGGGAAAAGCCAGGCTGGGCTGATTATTCCTACTGGTGGAAACAAAATTAGAGTGGGTGAGGGTTGTTTGGGCATAGCCACAGCATCAGCAGCAAGAAGCTGGCACTGGGGGCTAGTTCTGTCAAGTAAACCACAGAACTACCTGGAGAGTGCATAATCTGGGAGTGGGAGAGGCCTGGGAGGGAAATAGTGGGCTCCTCCCTCTTGGGTTACCTCTTCCACGGGAGGGCATAAAACCAGGACAGTGACTGGGGTGGAATGGGGTATGGGACAGACTGGACTATTGCTACACATACTGGCGAACCAGGATAGGAGGCGGGCCTGGTGGGGGTTACTGCGGGTCACTCCAACTAGGCTGCAGCTCCCACCGGTTTCTGCAAGGGCCGAGTATGTGCTGGGCAGAACCAGGCTGGACTGCAACACCCATTGATTTCAGTGGAAGTCGGGGGTGAAAACAGAACCAACCCAGCAATTGCAAATACTAGCTGATCAGGCCGATGGACTGTGCCGGGCCCTGTACTTGCTAGCACATACAAGAATCTGGTTTGAGAACACCTCAGACAAAGTTTCTTTCGAGATCTCCCCAATCAAAATGCTGGACTCAGAACCCGAACCAAGAAAAGACAGAAGACAGAACAGGTCAACCAACCATCTCAGCTATATCTTAGCAGCGAAATATGGGGCAGAGACTCTATGATGGACTATGTCAACCAGTGGATTCTTCAAAGACCTCATAGTGCTTGGAGTGGCAAGATTGGCAGCGATTCATAACTATTGAAATATCAAACCATCTGAGCAAGAACCTCAGAGCATGCCCTACATCCGGGACCTGGGGAGGGTGGGAAATTGGGTGGGCCTTCTCCCTTAATACCCCCCTTTAAACATGAAGGAAACTATATGGAAAAAATAATAATCTTACCCACTTTCCTGTAGCCCTTGAACCTTTTTACCCTAAATAACTATGTAAAGATTGTCAAAATATTTTTTTTAAAGATTTATTTTTATTATTTTTTCATTGGAAAGGCGGATATACAGAGAGGAGAGACAGAGAGGAAGATCTTCCGTCCGATGATTCACTCCCCAAGTGAGCGCAACGGCCGATACTATGCCGATCCGAAGCCAGGAGCCTCTTCTGGGTCTCCCACGTGGGTGCAGGTTCCCAAAGCTTTGGGCTGTCCTTGACTGCTTTCCCAGGCCACAGGCAGGGAGCTGGAAGGGAAGCGGGGCTGCCGGGATTAGAACCGGCGCCCATATGGGATCCCGGGCGTGCAAGGCGAGGACCTTTAACCACTTGCGTACTGCGCCGGGCCTGATTGTCAAAATATTAAAAAAAAAATAGATTATTTTTTAAAAAAAATTACACCTCAGAAAAACAAAAATTCTTCATTGTTCAAAAGACACTGTTCCAAAAACGTAAAGCTAAACTTCAGACTTACAGAAAATATTTAGACAAGACTGGACTTGAACTGTAATACTGTAATAAGGTGGAATAATCCACCATGGGGGAAGAACATGGGGAGGGGTTTGGGGAACCTCAGAGCCTATGAAACGATGCTGTAAAATGAAATGCAATTAAAAAAAGAAGAAAGAAAATATTTTGAAAACATATGTGCCTTTATGGCAAAGAAGTATAGAAAAAAAAAGGCTCAATGTACTTCTTCATTAGGCAAATACAAATTAAAATCATGATAATTAAGATGAAACAACAATGGGTGCCGGTTCTAAACCCGGCAGCCCCGCTTCCCTTCCAGCTCCCTGCTTGTGGCCTGGGAAAGCAGTCGAGGACGGCCCAAAGCTTTGGGACCCTGCACCTGTGTGGGAGACCCGGAAGAGGCTCCTGGCTTTGGATCGGCATAGTATCGGCTGTTGTGCTCACTTGGGCAGTGAATCATCGAACGGAAGATCTTCCTCTCTGTATATCCGCCTTTCCAATAAAAATAAAATAAATCTTTAAAAAAAAAAAGATGAAACAACTGCCAGGAGGTAGAGGGACTTTGAACTTTCATATATTGCTGATGAGAAATACAGCAAACCCACTTTGGAAAACAGTCTTGTAGCTTCTGGAAGAGCTACACGTGCTACACACACACACACACACACACATATCAATTCCACTGTCTAGACTTCCTATTCTTTTAAGATGTATTCATTTTGGGCCAGGCAGCATGGCCTAGCGGCTAAAGTCCTCGCTTTGATCATGCCAGGATCCCATATGGGCCCCGGTTATAATCCCAGCAGCTCCACTTCCCATCCAGCTCCCTGCTTGTTGCCTGGGAAAGCAGTTGAGGACGGCCCAAAGCCTTGGAATCCTGTACCCACGTGGGATACCTGGAAGAAGTTCCTGGATCGGCATAGCACTGGCCATTGCGCTCACCTGGGGAGTGAATCATTGGATGAAGATCTTCTTCTCTATCTCTCCTCCTCTCTGTATATCTGACTTTCCAATAAATAAATAAATCTTTAAAAAAAGATTTATTCATTTTTATTTGAAAGGCAGATTTACAGAGAGAAGGAGAGACAGATAGAAAGATGTTCTACCCACTGGTTCACTATTCAAATGGCTACAATGGCTAGAGCTCAGCAGATTGGAACCCAGGAACCAGGAGCTTCTTCTGTGTCTGCCATGTGCATACAGGATCTCAAGGCTTTGGGCCATCCTGCATTGCTTTCCCAGGGCACAAACAGAGAACTGGAAGGGAAATGGAGAAGTTGGGGTATGAACCAGTGCCCAGATGGTATGTTGGTGCTTACAGGTAGATTAGTCAATCAGCTCCAACTTCCTATTCTTTTCAAAATGAAAACTTATGTCCACACAAAAATTAATATATGAATTTAACTGTAGCTCTATTTGTGCCACTCAAGAACTAGAGATAATCTAAATAATCCCCCTTGGGACCCTGCACCCTTGTGGGAGACCTGGAAGAAGTTCCTGGCTCCTGGCTCCAGATCAGCACAACATCAGCCGTTGTGGTCACTTGGGCAGTGAATCATCAGACGGATGATCTTCCTCTCTGTCTCCCCTCCTCTCTGTATATCTCTGACTTTGCAATAAAAATAAATATGAATCTTTTTTTTTAAAGATTTATTTTTATTATTTTTTTATTGGAAAGGCGGATATACAGAGAGGAGAGACAGAGAGGAAGATCTTCCGTCCGATGATTCACTCCCCAAGTGAGCGCAACGGCCGATACTATGCCGATCCGAAGCCAGGAGCCTCTTCTGGGTCTCCCACGTGGGTGCAGGTTCCCAAAGCCGTGGGCGGTCCTCAACTGCTTTCCCAGGCCACAGGCAGGGAGCTGGAGGGGAAGCGGGGCTGCTGGGATTAGAACCGGCACCCATATGGGATCCCGGGCGTGCAAGGTCAGGACCTTTAACCACTTGCGCCACCGCGCCGGGCCCAAATATGAATCTTTAAAAAAAAATAAAAAAAAAAAAAAGAATCCACTGAAAACAGGATTTTCACACAACAGCCCTTTTTTGCTGAGCACCTGGCCCATATAATAACCTTTGCAAATCTAACTATGACAAAGAATGGGAAGTTTCCAATTTTAGTATATGTGCTGCCGAAGCAAGCACAGAATGGAAACTTTAAAAGCTCTGAACTAACAACTTTAAAATGACACGGTAAAGGAATAAACTTTTCACAAAATAACTTTTTATTTCTATGAAAACTGTAAAAGATATCCTAAAAATTAAAACAGCTATAAACATACTATTGATACATAAAACAACTCTTTTTATTATTTACTTTGACTTACAAAGAGTTATTTATATGAATGGTAGAAAGACAGTGAAGGAAGGAAAAAAAGAGATCTTCCATCTGTTGATTCACTCTCCCGATAGCTACAACAGCTAAGGTAGGGTCAGTCCAAAGTCAGAAACTTCATTTGGGACTCAAATGTGAGGAAGAGGTCCCAAGATTTTGAGAATCATCTGCTGCTTCTCAGAGGTACTGGCAAGAAGTAGGATTGGTAGCGGAGGAGCCAAGACCTAATTCCAGGCACTTCAATGAGATGCTGGTGTCCCAAGCAGCACCCTAACACACTGTGCTGTAACACATGGCCTTTGTGTGTGTGTGTGTGTGTGTGTACGTTAATTACTATAAGATTCAAAATTTAAACTCTTTTCTCCTAGGAAACTGACCAATTAGAATCATTAAAAAAATGTTCTTTCCAAGTTTACCTTTAAAGCTAACCTGATTCAGAAGTAAAGACAACTAAATACATGACACAGCTAATCCCAAGTAGAAACACTCACACTAGATACAACAGTACATCTATCTAAGATCTTTATCTGTTGATTTTTTAAAAATAATTTATATAGCAGATTTAGCTTTACAGAAAAAGTACAAATAGAATAAACACAAAAATGTGATTTTGGAAATCAACCTTCTTCGTCATTCAGGGCCACTGCTTTCCAATTTTATAAAATATGGTCAATTCAAACCTCCTGGCTAACGTGTCAGATGCCTCCATCCCACCTGACGTTGCCCAAGTCTATCTCCTTTACTAGATAACCCTGTTCTAAAGACGCCGACAATTACTCCAACTTCTCTCCTCACAAAAACAAAAAATTAAAGAGTTTCAAGGCTGTGGAAAAAGACAATGTATTTGTTCCCTTTTACAAAGTTAAAGATATGACTCTCCAGACCTAGGTAAAATCAAGAAAGTTCTGATCATAACATAGTGTCAAACATATTACCTCAAAATTTCCCAGGAGACTAAGACTTGTAATGGGTGGGGCACTAGAACTCAAAAATGGTCTTTCCTGGGTATCTGGATCATCTTCAATGTTTAAACATGGTTGAGTACTATTAAAAACAAAAAAGAAAAAGCAGAAGAACACATTAGCCACAACACTTTCTTACTCACATTTGTTGATGTTATTTTTTATCTGGGAGGCTGACAAACTGAAAGCTCCCATCCACTATTTGCTATCCAATTGCTCCTATGGCTGAGTCTGGGAATTCAAAACAAGTTTCCCAGTTCAGAGGCAGAGGCCCAGCTATTTGAGCCAGTCCTGGCTGCCTCTCAGTTTATGCAATAGCAAGAATCCAGAGTGAGCAGTGGGGTTGGGACTTTAAACTCTGTACTACTGTAAGAGACAGGTGTGCCAACCTGTGAGGGTGGTGTCCCAAGCACTAGGTCAAAAGGCCTGTCACCCAACCTAACTGGAACAATGCTACCCAAGATAACCCTAATTAAACTAATGGCATCGGACATTAAAATCCCAAAAATTTGAACTTTAAAATTATTGCTGTTTTTTTATAAAGAACACATATTGCATATATATGTCTAAATTATAATAAAAAGTTACAGGGTAAAGTTTATAATATAGTTATAGAAGTCTTCTGTATCAATCCATTTTCAGCTAAAATTACAAAAGCAGGATTACATGATTAAAGAATACAGGTCAGGACATATTATATTTTACAATGTGGAAAAAATGCCAATGCTGTTTTTTTTTTAATTTTGTTTTTGCAAACAATAAAAGGTAGAGGATAATGATCAGAAATAATACTGATTCACTTAAATATTATACACAATATATGCAATCAATATATGTAATCAATATACATTTCTTACTCAATATTTTCATTTCTTTCCTCAATCATTTTTAATAACCATGTGTGGATAATATACCAAAAATAAGATTCTTATTAAAATTTTTACTGTTAGAGTGAATGTTATCTATTGTGAAAGACCAAAATTTAGAAATTCCATTTCCTATGTAGAAATGAATTTAAAGCTACATACCTTCTAGACGATAAGTTTTTCAGATGCAGTAAGGAAGAATCCAGATCAAAGCAACCTGACTGTGTTTTCCTTTGAGGAACCTAAGGACAAAATGATCATTAAAGACTATAATTTTTTTTCTTGTGTTAATAAAACATGTATCAAATGTAAGTTAAGCATATCATACTCCTCCCCAAACAGTTCACCCAAAACAATACTATTACATGTTTCTCTTTATGTTCTTATTAACCAGTAGAAAAACAGATGGCTGACAAAAGTAGTTTCATTAGGTTTGAGCTTTTTTTGGAAGCAAAACCACTCTTTCATCAAACCAAATTATTGCAACAGGCCTTTCTAAATAAACAGGTCTTTCATTTGAAAGACTCAAAATGTAGGCTAAACATTAAGTAATATACACTATGCAAATCAGACAAGTTTGTTTCTAGAATAATTAATATGAGTTCTTCAAAAAATATTATGAAAATGGAATTAAAATGTAATTTACTTGGTGCAAAAATTGTTAAAAATTCAAAAATAAGTAAGTTCTTGCAAATTCATAAAAAATAGGGTTCATCAAAAACTGCATGCATCTAACTTTGGAACAAGACTAGACATATTATAAACATTCAGGACAGCATGATGGCTCAATTAACCAATCCTCCACCTGCAAGTACTGGCATCCATACAGACACTGGTTCATGTACCAGCTGCTCCACTTTCCATTCAGCTCCCTGCTTATGGTCTGGGAAAGCAATGAAGGAAGGTACAAGGCCTTGGGTCCCTGTATACATGTTGGGAGACCTGGAAGAAGCTCCTGGCTCCTGGCTTCAGATTGGTTTAGCTCTAGATGGAGGATCTGATCTTTCTTTTAGCCTATTCTTCCCTCTGTAAATCTGTCTTTCCAATTAAAATAAATCTTCAAATAAAAAAAAAATGGCCAGAGCTGAAGCCAGGATCTTCTTTGGGTCTCCCATATAGGTACAAAGGCTCAAGGTTTTGGGCCATCCTCTGTTGCTTTCCCAGATATATGAGCAGGAAAATGGACTGGAAGTGAAGCAGCTAGGACACGAACCAGTACCTGTATGGGATCCCAGCATTTGCAGGGAGAGGCTTAGTCAGTTGAGTCACAGCGCCCTAGGCAATATAAATTTAAAACCCCTACAATTATACCTTAGGTTTCAACCCTATTTTTTTCCACCTAGTCCACATGTTACTCATTGATGCACACTTGAATCAACAGGGAAATTTTTTTCTCATCTTCCATTTAGAGAAGGCCAGTCCTCCTTAATTATGGCCTGGAAGAGTTTGGATTCAGAATCCGGACATGACTGGCACTGACTTGTGGCCTTCTCTCCTATCCCAGCAGAAGCATTAAACCCTAGTAAGGTGTTAGAGTCAGACAGTCTAGTATGGGCAATGAAATTTTATTCTGCCAAGGAGATATTTGCAACATCGTTTGTAGGCCATACAAAACAACCAGCTTAAAAATTAGCCTGTTATACATTTACTGAATTTCAAGTCCTGCCTATAGGACTTGGAAACCAAATGATTTCACTGGCCATTTATACTGTGTAGGCCCGAAATTACCCACCCCTGGTCTAAAGGGAAGTAATTTCCCCTGAGGTAACATCTTGGAAATTTGCTATTTTATGTGTTAAAAATTATTATATTTCACTTAGGACTCTGTTTTTGAGAAGGATGGGTCTACCAACATCAATTCTCAGCTCACTATATTGACCAGAAGCCTAAAGTGGGATATGATTCTTTTTTAAAAGATCTCATAGGTAGTTCAAACATTTGAAGTTGTTTTAATTTGTAATCCAACTTCTCTAAGATAAACACCCCTGGTCCAAGTTGTAAATTTAATTTCTAGATCTCTTGCTATTTTTTGAACACATGCCAGGTATTATGTTCTTGAGTATTCTAAAAAACACATCAACAAATATGCAGATTTTTAGCTGTGCAATAATATTGTCTGCTCACTTCACGTTGAACAAAAATGGCAGTCACCACAATTAACCAATCAGTGTTTTCTGTGTGCCAGATTACACTAATCACTGCCACAATCCTGAGGTAGAAGTTATCACTCTCACTTAGAGATGAGGAGCCCAAGGCTCGAGAGATTGTGATACCTGTTTAATGTCACAGCTACAGTCAACTCAATGTGTCTGCAAAGTGATGTTTTTTATCACTGGATTCAGATCTATACATCTGTGAACATATAACAGGGATATTTACATGTCAAGAAATAAGAGGATTAGGGGCCCCGAGCCATGGCTCAGTGGATAAATCTGTGCCTTGCATGTACCAGGATCCTATATGGGTGCTGCTTTGTGTCCTGGCTGCTCCACTTCCCACCCAGCTCCCTGTTTGTGGGAAGCAGTCCAGGATGGCCCAAAACCTTGGGACCCTGCACCCACTTGAAAGACCTGGAAGAAGCTCCTGGCTTTTATCTTCAGATTGGCTCAATTCCAACTGTTGTAGACACTTGGGGAGTGAACCAGCAGATGGAAGATCTGTCTCTCCATCTTTACACAAATGCGACTTTCCAATAAAAATAAACAACGTATGAAAGAACAGAAACAAGAGGATTAAATGGATGAGTTTCAAGCCAAAGTGTCATGATTTCTTCCCCACTTGATGTGCTTGGTACTATCACTATGTAGTTAGATAACAATCTGTTTTTACAATGAAAGTTTCCACTAAAGAACTTGAGAAATTTCATATCTCTAATAGAACCAATTTCACTACTATTCACTTTCAGTCTTTTCCAATGTTACCATCAAGCTGTTACATATGCTACAAAATATTTTTCAATTGAAAAATTTAAAGATATTTAAGCCGTGCTTACAGGACTTGAAAGGAGAGGCAATCCAGTTCGAGGGTGAAAGGCTCTAGTTGAAGTTCCATCCAACGAGTGGAAAGTGTGTTTTCGCCAGACACTTGAACGTTTCGGTATATTTCTCTGTTAGGATAATTATTCTATTTTAATTGTAATATTTAAAGACCATTAAATTCCTAATACATTCTGAATTAATATATCCCTGGTTGTGACATCTATAGTCATAGAAAACAGTATCTAAAATTTGGGGATGCCATTTAGTAAGCTAGTATTTGATTTAAATTTGCATAAAAACTATTCACAGGTAGAAAAAATAGCATAATGTTCTAAAATGTAAAGCTATATTGGGATCAAAAGCTATTTTCATAAGATGCAATTTGAATAGGGCCTGATAAACAAACATAATACTATGAATTCAAAGTTATATACAACCAATTCACAATATTTTTTCCCTTGCAGTAGATGTGGGGGGAGCAGCATAATACAAGAAGTAAAGTAATTATTAAGAATTGCATGCTGCCCCAACTTAAGTTTAATTTCAAATTCCTATTTACTTTCCAGCAATTATTCTAAGTACTGAAATAAGCAAAGGACAATAGGAAGAACTCAAATGAACCAAGGATTTGTATCATCTACGAATGTGAGGCAGAATAAACCCTAGGATTGCGAATCAAGACAAGGGGCCAGGGCAGTTAAGCCATTTAAGGATTTGCAAGCTACTGGGATCTCAGTTATTCTGTTCGAGTCCTGATTTCCTTCTGTCATGCCTGTCATACGGTGAAACAGCATAAAGAATCAAATGTTCTATAGTCATGTGACATAAACAAAAGTAATTTACAAGGAACACTGAATTCAAAGTATTATTTTTTGCATATTAGCATTTGTTCTCCTGAATCCACATAGTAAGACCTGGATGCCTCTGAGAATACAGAATAATGTGTCTATTAGAAAAGAAGGGGAAGAAAAAAAAACAGATTTGAAAGATGCAAAAGACAGAATAGTGAAAAAAAAATATTGCCTTTTAGCAATTTAAAAAACCACTATTATTTAAAACCATATCATCTTTAAAACCACATTCATCTCCCAATGAAACTGTTAAATGTACCATAGGATGCTGGACTCCCTGCGATTGTCCATGCCCACAATGTTAGGATACACTTACCTAGCAGAATGGTGGATTTATGACTGCTTATGGAGGACTACACTACCGTAACAATACAGGGGATATCAGTGGGCAGATGGCATGTGGGGAAGGGATATGGGAAATCCCAGAGCCTATGGAATTGTATCATAAAATGAAATTTTAAAAACCACATCATTTTACTTCTATTAGTTTATGATTTGCTCTTAAGAGAGTATCTGTGGCCTGGTGCAGTAGCCTAGTGGCTAAAGTCCCCACCTTGCAAGGGACAGGATCCCATATGGGTGCCAGTTTGTATCCCAGCTGTTCCACTTCTCATCCAGTTCCCTGCTTGTGGCCTGGGAAAGCAGTTGACGACAGCCCAAAGCATTGGGACCCTGCACCCATGTGGGAGACCTGGAGGAGGCTCCTGGCTCCTGCTTTGGATGGGTTCAGCTCTGGCCTTGAAGCCACTTGGGGAGTGAATCACCAGATGGAAGATCTTCCTCTCTGTCTCTCCTCCTCTCTGTATATCTGACTTTCCCATAAAAAATAAATATTTTAAAAAAGAGAGTATTTGCAAGAATGCTTATAGTTTTGCATAAAACTTACACCAGATTGAGTTCTATACGTAACAGGCACTTTGAATTTTCTAGCTCTATCTCTCGTGAACAAGTCAAACACTTGAGAATCGTATTTCAAATATTAGGTATTATTTGCAGTTATTACCTACCAACGCCTCTGTATTTTTCAGTCGTTCACAGGGGGAGACACAGTCCTTTAAACTTTTTCTCTGAGAAGAGGTTTGAGATTTTTCATTCACTGCGTCTTCTTTCTTATCATAATCATTTTTGAACTGGTCTAATTTTTTACAATGAGAGCCTTCATTACCTTTGTTGAGATAATCTTCTACGCTATTAAGGTGGAAATTTTGCTCACATGTCTTAGGTCTTATTGAGTCTTTATTTGAGCACTCATTTTCATGGTTCTCCAAATATTCTGACACTCCCAACATGGTAACTTTAACTGCTGGATCAACGTTTTTTGAGTCATCAAGTTGGAGATTGGCAAGAGATTCTGGATTATAATTCTCGCTTTTTATTACTTTTTCCTTGTATTTATTTGTGCAGAACTGTTTGTCAATACTGTTGCAACTTGAGTACTGTTTATCAATTCCATTGCCCAAGTCTTGTTCCTTAAACCGGGACTCAGAAAGTTTATTTTCCAATCTATTTATTAAATCTACATTATTTTCTTCACATTGAGATATACTTGAGGAAGTTAATAAACTGTCATCTTTGTTCTGTGTCTTTTGATAAGCACTTTGGACAGTTTCACTAGAAATGTTTTGACACTGATTTCCTATTTGAGGTTTCAAAAACTTTCCTTTACTATTGCATTGGAAAGAAGTAAAACATGTATTAGGTACTGAGTCACTGCTGTCTCCTAACAAGGAAAATTTTGTATGAGAAATGGAAATGGAAGCATCATTTTTAATTTTCTTCAACAAATTTTTGTCTTCATATGAACTCCTAAACACTTTAGAAGGTCCCAAATTGGAACTGTGCAGGTTGCAGGACTGCCGGGGTGGGACAGGTGATGTTGGATCAATATGTTCCAAATGTTGAGCAATTCTCGCAATCACATCTTGTCGTTCCTGGAGTAGACAGCCTATCAAAGGATTCGTTTCTCCAACAGACTGACGAGAAAAAATGCCATTAGAAATGCAGGTTTCACTTGGAGGAATTTCTGATTTTACTCGAATTTTCCCCTCGTTTGTGTCTTCTGAGGAGGTAAACTCTGGACTACCAAAGGATATAGGGAAAGTTTCTTTACATTTTCTCACATTTTCATTTTCCTGTGAAGCCCGGAAAAGTTTAGGGTTAGGTGAAGCAGACTCTTGAGTATGAAATGGGTGCCCAGAACCGTGTGAAGTGCTTGGATCACAATGAATCAAATGCTGAGCAATTCTTGCAATAACTTCTTGTCGATCTTGAATTAAAGAGCCGATTAAAGGGTTAGTCTCACCAACTGAATTCCAGGAACTCTGCCTGCTAGAGACACTGGAATCAATCATTGAAAATGATTTTAAAGTTCTCCCTGATGTTTCATGTGCTTTTATCTCTCCTAACCCACTAAAGCCCCGAATATTGGCTTGAGATGTCCCATAGTCACATTTACTGCCAGCGCTTGGACACAGTTTGACATTTTTGACAGATGAAGTGTATTCTGGAGTTGTGCCATTTTTAACATGCAATACACTTTCAGGTGCCGGGGTCCAAGTGTGTTTGCTACACAGCCGAGGTGAGCTGCTTCTACTACACTGTTCTTCATTAGAACTGTGGTGCTGAGGAGTTTTCAGTTCACGGTCTTGAATTCTCTTCTCATAAAGTCTAATATTAGTGTGAATACTACACGTCAAAACTGGATAATTCGATTGTCTGGGCAAGGACTGAACGCTGACTTTCAAGGCCACATTGTGGGACACATTAGGAACAGGAAACACATGTTCAATTGGAGTCTGTGAAAAATTCCACTGTAGGTCTACATCAGCGGCACTGATTCTAGAGTCATACAAACAACACTGAATCAGAAGATCATAAAAATTGCATCTTTATAATTGCACATTATTTTAAAAATGTAATGGAGTAACTATCTTACCTTTATTTACATTAATTATCACTGAGGAGTATATTTAGTCATTTTACCACAGTATTATTTTCATAAAATCAATGTAAGTGGTCCAACAGAATACTCAGACAAGATGGTCTTTTTAAGGATGTCAGGCCACTTAAACAGTATTAAGAATATGAACATTCAAGAATACTATAACTTAAAAATATCTGTCAACAGAAAAAAGGACTTCACATTGTCTACTGAGAGGTGAACTCAATTCTAACAGACACAATCTCACCGCCACCCAGCCTAAGGAGAAAACTACCTGTTGATCAGCAAATATCTTTCAAGATACGGAAAGTAATGAGTAGAGTCACAGAAATTTGACATCTCAGAAAACACACTTTTGGATATGGCAGTTTCATGTCAATTCTTGGTTCTCTAAAGCAAGCTTATGTTTTCTGAATACCATTCTAGATCAAATTTAACCCAATAAGTAAAGTTTATATTGTTACAATCTAAATTTCTTGATCTTATTTTACCAAAAATCTCAAATTTTATCCAATTATATCCAGAAATCCAATTATATCTAGAAATTATACCTAAATTTTATCCAATTCTATCAACTATTTAAAAGATACAATATCATTGAGTAACTAACCAACCTGCTTGAAAACGCATTGTGCTTTTCTTGCTCTGAACATACCTGTAGAGAATGTTCCGTGGAATAGCACCATGAGAAACACTGAGCCAAGCACTTAACTGAGAAAAAAACACAAATGAGCGGACAGCCAACAGGAGAGTCTTCTCTTCAATAAATCGATCACCACTCCTAAGGGAGGTAACAAAGCACAATCCAATGTAGGCAAGTACAACCACATGAAGTTCAGAAAGGTGAAAAACTGAAGTAGATACATGGCTCAGGATGAGTGTTTTCATTTGTAAGGTCATAATTCATATATTTTATGCACATATATATATACATATATACACACACACACACGCATACATACACTGAGTATCTTAGTTTTACTAATGTAAATAGGGGAACTCAAAGACATGACATATCATTCAACCAGTTCATGGGAAGCAACAGAAAACTTGAAGTTCAACAACTTACTGTCGAGGAACTGGTTCCAAGATCCATCTTTCTAATAATAATGCATCTTGCTTAATTGCAGGATCATTTAGATCAATTCCTTCTGTGGTGGGCCCATCATCACTATAGCAGCAGTCTGGTAACAACATCACTTCCACCATGATTGGAAGGTTATTCTTCCACAACAATGTGACCTCAGACCTGGTTCGTCTGGCTTGGCGACACTTGAGAAAATTAACATAAACAAAAAGTCTCATTGACACTCCAAATTTTGTATTTAAACTTAACAACAATTGTAAAGTTAACAACTGTATACGACATAAGTCATCTATCACAGAACTTTCCTCAGATGTAATGTGGCTCTTCAGATTTCTCCACTAAATAATGCAGTCATGAGCTGAGCTTTAGAGCATAGGACTGAGTGGGTTTTTAAATTTTTTTTTTAAGATTTATTTATTTTATTGGAAAGGCAGATATACAGAGAGGAGGAGAGACAGAGAGGAATATCGTTCGTCCGAAGATTCACTCCCCAAATGAGCGCAATGGCCGATGCTATGCCGATCCAAAGCCAGGAGCCAGGAACTTCTTTCCTCCAGGTCTCCCACAGGAGTGCAGGGTCCCAAGGCTTTGAGCCATCCGTGACTGCTTTCCCAGGCCACAAGCAGGGAGCTGGATGGGAAGTGGAGCTGCTGGGATTAGAACCAGCGCCCATATGGGTTCCTGGCGTGTTCAAGGTGAGGACCTTAACCATTATGCTGTCGCGCCAGGCCCAGGACTGAGTTTTGAAATTAATGATGAAGTGTTCTTGGGGAAGATATATTTTTGCTACCTTGTGGATGAAGAAGTACCATTCTCAATGTCTGGCAGTTTCTGAGTTGTCACAATCTTACCTAACTTGTAAATAGAAATTCTTAAATCTGAAAACCCAAATGAGAAAATTCTTACTAGACATTCAAAAATAGGTGAGATTGTTTCTTTTTAAGTTAAACATTTTGGACTACATTTATGAAACTAATAACTAGAAGAAAAAAAAAGCAAATAATATGCTAACCATCCACAAATATTTGTCAGGGTTACACAAAAACATAATAGCAAAAAGCATCTTCCCATTAAAAAAAGAATGAACACAAGCTGAAAATTGGTTAATGTAGGAAATATAATCATTATGTCTAAGTATTAGGTGAGCAAGGACATAATATGAATGCACCAGGGTTGAGATGTTAAAATTAAGGAATACTAGCATAGAGCAGCAAAGAAAATGTATAAGGCAGAGTATAAAAAGGCAGGTATGAAATTGGCTGCCATCTCCCAGCTTCCTTTTGAACCTTCAACAGCCTTGATTAAGACAATGTTTCAGCTACGGTCTGGGATTAGACTTGTTTTCCTACATAATTATGACCAGTTATTTTAAAATGAAAAATTTAATTGTTATATAGTAAAAGTGATGAAAGAATTTAAACTGGGGCCTGTGTTGTGGCATAGCTACTAAAGCTGCTTCCTGCGACACTGGCATCCCATATGGGTAACAGTTTCAACCATGGCGGCTCCACTTCTGATTCAGCTCCCTGCTAATGTGCCTGGGAAATCCACAGATGATAGCTCAAGTGCATAGACTTCTGTACCCACATGCAGACTCAGATGAAGCTCCTGGTGCCTGGCAGTCTGACCATGAAAGGGCTCTCTTTTTCTCTCTTATTCTGCCATTCAAACAAATTGCAAAAAAAAAAAAAAAAAAGTAAACAACTTTGCATAAAAGATAAAAAACATGCAACACTTAATTCTCACCTGTGCCAGCTTGTCACTGCACTCATGTTTGGTAGTTACTGGGTAACCAGACTGTGCCGGAGGGCAGTGGAAACTTTCTGCACGGCCTTTCACAGAACATTCAGGTGTCCGTCCTTCTGTTATTAGCAAGGCCAAAGAGACCAAGAACTCCTCTGCATCATATTCAAAATATTCATCTAGAGTATCTGGTAATTAAGAAAAAAAAGTAAAGAAGGATTCTCACTTTAACGTATTTTGAATAAGAAATCATTTGTCACACTTAAACCAACTGTCATATTCCATACTTACTAAAGAGAATAAAAATGAACAAATACTCTAAAACTTCAAATATCTCAGAAAGCATACAGAAGGGTAATGATGAATTCCAGTTGAACAGAATTGTTTAAAATTGTGGCATAAAATTGTCTATGTCAATTTCGGTTAAAATACCAAATATTTAGGAATATATCTATCACCCTAAAGATAATCATCATCCTTTAAATAGTCAGATTTTTGGATGTCAAGTATGATGACTTTTGCACACAAAATATCATTAATAGCCAGAAGTTTAAAGTAGCTTATGTCATACTTTTAGCTAAAATGCATTACTGCTATTATATATCAGAAAATAAAATGAAATCCAACTGCAAGTTTCTCCCTATCTCTCCCCTCAGCTTTCCTCAGAAAGTTTATCCTATGGTGTAGACCTTTCCCACAGCTACAGGGTCCTCTCAGTTCTTACTCCAGGACAGTAAGAGTGGCAGGAGAATATTCTAGTTATTCAGCAGGAAACTCATTTTGCAAACATGGAGCATGGCATTTTGGTTATTATATAGTTCCAAACAATTAACCTGCAGATATTCTCACGCGGTCATGGTAATCTCAAAATTGTTCACAAGTGATCATTTTTTTTAAAGATTTATTTTTATAGCAAAGTCAGATACATATAGACAGGAGGAGAGACAGAGAGGAAGATCTTCAATGATCTTCAATGATTCATTCCAAGTGACCACAATGGCTGGAGCTGTGCTGACCCGAAGCTAGGAACGTCTTCCAGGTCTCCTATGTGGGTTCAGGACCCTAAAACCTTGAGTTGTCATCGACTGCCTTCCCAGGCCACAAGGATGGAAACTGGATGGGAAGCGGGGCTACTGGGATTAAATCTGGTACCCATATGAGATCCTGGTGGCACGTGCAAGGTTAGGACTTCAGCTACTACGCCACTGTTCTGGGACTGCAATCTTACTTTAAAAAATTTTAACCTGCAGGGCCAGCACTGTGGCATAGTAGGCATCCCCATACAGATGCTGGTTTGTGTCTTGGCTGCTCCACTTTTGATCCAGCTCCCTGCTTCTGCACTGGGAAAACATCAAGAGGCCAGCTCAAGTTCTTGGGTCCCATATCCATGTGGGAGACCCAGAGGAGGCTCCTGGCTCCAAGCTTCAGATCAGTCCAGTTTCAGCCATGTGGCCATTTAGGGAGAGAGTCAGTGAATGGAAGACTTCTTTCTATCTTCCTAACTCTGCCTTTTAAATAAAAATAATTAAATCTTTCAAAAGAAACTTTTGGCCTGCCACACAGGTTGAATATTTGAAAAAGCTGCTCTTATCTCTACCAATGAACAAACAAATATCTCAAGTGTTAGCTGCATTGAATTAGGTGGAAACGGCACAGAGTTGGAAAGCAGGAAGTTGCTCTGATTCAAACTGGGCACCTGACCTATAGTGGGTCAAAGTTTTTTTTCCAGTGCACAGGAGGAAGGATCCAGGGAAATGAGTTGGTGGCTGCCACTATGACCTGAACTGAGGTAAGGTATACCCAGGAGCCATGCAAGGCCCACAGCCTGCAAAGAGAATGAAACAACCTAGAGGCTGAGTAGAAACTAAAGACTCCAATGACACAGAAACCCCCCAAAAAGTCGCCGCCTGATTCCTAACAGTGTCTGAGTCCTTCACAAGGCCTAAGAGAGAGAACTCTGCATTCCTATTAATCAATTACCTAAGCTTTGTAATAATTTATCATGAAAAGCACATTAGCTAATAACTAAAGTTTCGTAGGAAATCATAGGTGCTTGCCAAAACAAAAAGCATTTGTTACTGTATCAGTAAGAATTATTGAATGATAGAGACTAAATTATATTCCCCCAAAATTCCTGTGTTGTAACCCTATTGCCCCAACCTGACTATGCTGGGAGATAAAGCTTTTAGAAGGTAATAAGGTCATATGGGTGAGGTCTTGATACAACAAGAAAAAATATCTCTTTCCCTCTTTTTGGTAGTGAGGGGCCAAGTGAACCCACGAGGCAAAGGTGGCCTTCCGCCTACAAACCAGAAAACTCTCACCAGGAGCTGACCATGCCAGCACCCTAAGCTTGAACTTCCAGCCTTCAGAATTTCAGAGATATAAATTCCTGGTGTTTAAAACACTCAAATCTATAATATTTTTATGGCAGAACTTTAAATAGTTGTTTTCTAATTAAATAAAACAAATTTGCTGAATAATGCACAAAATTCAGAGCATTCAAACAAAAAGCAATTTATAATCTTTATCCAGATTATCATTAACCATGCAGCTTTATTTTAAATATACTCACACAACAGAAACTATAGTTCACACTGTTTAGCTTTTAAAATACATACATATATTCACTTATTTTCAACTGAACACTGTACATACTTATGGGGTGTACTATGAAGTTTCAATACATATATAATGCCTAATAAATAATAATGCATAATTTTCTATGTATCATCTATTATCATTTCTTTGTATATATCTTATGGCATTTACACTATTTTTAAGTAAAATACACTTATACAGTTAAAACTTTACAATTATTAAGCAGTCTTTAAAAATGTGAAATTTATGTTGTAACACAGTCTGTAATTTTTTTTTTTTTAAAGATTTGAGCACTTGAGCAGGGCTCTTGGGAGCATGTTCCACATCAGGGACCCTAGGATGACATCGGATGGCTGTTCCCTATACTGGGTACTGAGGTGGTTGGGAGGCTGGGTATGGCTTCTCTCCTTATCCCTCCTTTCTCCCAGATACAGGAAGAAGAAAAAGAAAATTTGGAACAATGGTCTCAACCACTTTCCCCTAATCCTCTACCCTTCCCACCCTAATCAATTGTGTAAACATCACCCAAAAAATTAAAATAAAAAAAGCATTATCCAGTATCACATATAAATAATTAGGATTATTACTTTTCCTAACTGCTACTACCTCTTAAAGTAGGTCACAGTTTGGCTACGTATTGCGGGCTGTTTTAAAGAAACGCATAGGTAATCACTTATTGGCTCTAATGTTTAGAAACTGGAACTTTGCAGTGTGAAACCTGTGCTATTATTGTTTTTAAAAATATACTTAAAAAGTCAATTAGGAATTAGAATATAGTGATATTGATAAAAAGTGAAAGAGATACATGGATATGAGTTGAGGCATCTGAGAATAGAATTCTAATGAGTAATAAAAGAGATGATGCTGGGCCCAGCGGCATGGCCTAGTGGCTAAAGTCCTCGCCTTGCACGCCCGGGATCCCATATGGGCGCCGGTTCTAATCCCGGCAGCTCTGCTTCCCTTCCAGCTCCCTGCTTGTGGCCTGGGAAAGCAGCTGAGGACGGCCCAATGCTTTGGGACCCTGCACCTGTGTGGGATGCCCGGAAGAAGTTCCTGGATCCTGGCTCTGGATCGGCATAGCATCAGCCGTTGCGCTCAGATGGGGCGTGAATCATTGGACAGCAGATGTTCCTCTCTGTCTCTCCTCCTCTCTGTATATCTGACTTTCCAATAAATAAATAAATCTTTAAAAAAAAAACCATAAAAGGAAGAGATGATGCCTACAGAATTAAGCTCCTAGGTAAGATATCCAGCATGTAGGTAATAAGATTTCATTCATTCAACAAATACTATAAAACTACCACATGCTAGGCACTTTTCCTAGGCACTTGGACTCACAGTACATATTCTAATGTTGCTTGGAGTAGAGGAGAGGGGAACCTAGCAAGAAAAATTACAGATGCTAAATGCTGTGCCATTACTGGAAAAAACAGAGTTATGGGAAAACTTTAGATAGGGAAATGATATTTGATTTAGATTATGATCAGCATGGGTAAAACAATCATAGTAGGTAGGTATACTACGTAGAAGCTTGTTGTAATTGTTCAGGGTCAAGGATGCACTGTGGGTAACTGGCCTTTGGATACAGAAGCTTGGAAGTATGGAAAATGATACTGGGCAACTCATGACACAGTCTTGAAACTCCAAAAAGTAGGATCTGGTGGAATAATATGAGCCAGGAAACTATCTGTCAGGTATAATACAGTGGAAGCCACAAGAAAAAAAAAAAGGCATGGACCATGGTTTCAAACACTGGTAAAGGTTAATAAAATACATGGCGGGCAGATGTGACACACTGTCATTTATTCTGAGGATTACAAATGGGTAAGTACAAAGGCCACTTTCCTGAAATCTTCTCAGCATAAGAGCCTTGCATACATCACATTAGCTTTTTCTAGAAGGCAAGTATAAATAAATGAGATCACCACTCACAAAATTATTTGATCCCCAAAACAGGAGTAAACAAAAGCTCAATATGCCTCCCCTTGTAAGTCTAATGGATGAGAGGCAAGAGATTCTCCTTCTTTACGATCTTAAAATTCAGTCACTAAATCCTACTACTCTTTTAAACTTTCTTGGAATAAACACCTCTACTTCAAAATGACAACCTTAACTAGAGTCTTGCTATTTTGCATCTGTTTACTACAGCAATTCCCTAGCCGTTGTCTAGTCCTCCAGTCTATTCTGCTTCTATCTTCTACCTTAATGCAGATTGATCTTCCTGGAAAGTCAGTATATCACAGTTCTCTCAGCTTAAAATTGCTTTGTTGTTTATTTCCTGGCACCATTGTGCAACCAGTGAAACCAGGTTTAAGTTCTTAAACCTGACATTAGCGTAAAATCCACTAGACAGCAAGCTACTCTGTGCATAGCCAGATTTTGACATGGATGCTTTTTTTTCTGGAGTTATACACAGAATCACAGCTGCTCATGGCCCATCATTCGTTGATTTCAACTTTGCTTCCTCAGCTCAGCTTTTACTGACCAACACAGTCTGTCCTAGCCAAAGTGCTACCCACATAGTACTGTATTCCCACCATGTGCTGTTGCTCAGTATTCCTTCTGGCTCACTTTGCAGCCAAACCCA